GAAAGAAAAGGACTATAATGCAGGAATCATATGCAGCCAAGATATCGTTCCCTGTTTCAGTGAAAGAAAGATCTTTACAAATATGCAAGGACTCAGAGACTACAGCACATAGATATGGAGCCTAGGGATATAACTGGAAAATAACTTGACTGAAAGGTCAATTTACCAAGACATCTACTTATGAACAGGATGTAGTAACAGGAACCAGATCTGTCTTTCTGCCTGAAACAGCTAAAAATCTGGACAAAATATATACAACAATGGTTTGCAGACTTTGACTATCAAGCATCACGAGATTGTGCTTCCTGAGAGAGAGGAATCATCTGACTGACCCAGCTTACTGCCTGGAGAGAGTTTCCAAGGCGTAACATGGGGAGGAGAATCCTGCTCAGCCCAGCTGTCTCCACACTTTGAGCAGATGGTGATGGAGCTCTGAGACCCAGGCAGTTAGAGTTGCACAGCAGAGTACCAGAGGAGAGAGCTGCAGAGAGACAGCACCAAAGATCCTCAGAGGCTCGCTCTTGAGACTTTGGCACACTATTGATGAGAGTATGCCTATGAGGAAACTATACAAGGCCAGAGAAAGGACCCCCGGAAAGGAATACAGGGAATGCAATTATATTGACGCAGGTCACGCCCACTGGGTGACCTACTGTCTATGGCGGCTTTCGCTATAGTGCAAGTTGAGTGGTCAAGACAGAAACAGTGTGGTCCACAAAGCCTGGAATACTTACACTTCATAGAAAAAGTTTGCTGACTCCTGGTGTAGGGGATTAAAAAGAATACTTTCGAGTTGAAATACTTGGGCTCAAATTCCTACTGCATCACTGTGTGACCTTGAGTAAGTTACTTAACCTAAGCTTCAGTTTTCTGTCTATAAAAATGGGCATAATGTAGGCACCTTCCTCACACACACATACAGTGGTTGTGAAAGTTAAATGAAGTAAAAAACCGAAAATGCTCTCAACCCTAACTGACATTAAAGAAAGTAAAAGAGAAAATAAATAATTTTTTTAAAGGTTAACTATTTTTGTTCAGAGGCAGACAATTCTCAGTTGCTTTGGGGTTTCCATCATAAAATCAAGCCATGCGATTGACCTAATACCATCTATAACTTCTGCATCACTCCCCCCACCTCCCAATGTGACTAAAAGAGATGGGTCAAAATGGCATTTTTAGTGCTATTTGTGCAAGCTGTATGTCTAGGCAAGCTCTAAAATCCGTGGTAACACAGTCATATCACCCCATCCTCAAGGTGAATTAAAAATTCCAGGGGGAAGATGGTTTCTTTATCTCTTTGCCCCTTCCAGTGTTAAGGAGAGGGTCTTACATTTAGGAACACTTGATAAGTGTTTGGGATGGATGATGGATCAAAGGTGGGTTAGATGGATGGACGGGATGTATGGATGGATGGGTGGATGGATGGGTGGATGGATGGATTGATGGATGGGATGGATGGATGGATGGATGAATGGATGGATGGATGGATGGATGGATGGGTGGATGAGTGGATGGGTGGGATGGATGGATGGATGTGATGAATCTTCATTGAGGAAACGCTGGGAACAATTTCTCTGTGAAGTGAATAAACAAAGGAAAGTTCTAGGTCTGCCCGCTTTGCCTTCCCATTCACAGTCAACAAAGCCTAAGGCCACAAGTTCCCAGTTCATATCTCTTTGCAGTATGTTTCAGAGGGTTTGTCCTGATTTTGTTCGTTTTGGGGATTTTGCATCTCTGACTATAGAGGTTGACCACGCAGTATTCCTCTACTCATGACACATTGTCATCATTGGGCTGTGCAGGGCCTTTCCCTTGGTTATTGATTTATTAGCTTTTGCCAACTCAACTCCCTATAGATAACCATTGGAATGTGTTTAATCATATATTTTTATTTATGCCAATTTTTTAAAAATATTGTGGTTTTATGCATGTATTTTCTATTTGCAAAAAGTCCATTGTATCCTCTATCTCCTGCTGCTTCTTACCCTTTTGTCTCAGGGCCACATTCCTAAGACCCACCCATGCTGCTACATGCACGTCCAGTTGTTGTTTCTGAGTACACCATTGGTTCCACGCACATATCTGACCTGTCGCTCTCCACATTTTGTTTTTTTAAGGTACAATTGAAAGTAACTTGCCAGTTTAATCAATCCTGTCTCCATGATTTGGAAAAACATGAGGCACTACATCTCTTTGACCATGACCGGAACGGGGCTTGAGCCCCCAGGAAGAGAGGTGGAGGTCAAGAAGAGGTCAGCCTGGGTGGAGGAGCAGCTCTGTCACCCCTGGTGTCCTTGGTCATGTTGCTCAGCCTCTCCCTAGGGTCTTCTTATCTGCAGCAGAGTCAATAATCCCTGCCCCACCTATCTATAGGGCTGAAATGAGGCTGAAGAGAAACAATAGGTGAGAAAACAGGCTTGAATAGTATCCCTAACCACATACAGGTGAGCCAGCCTGCACCGTTCCCTTCTCTAGCTGGCACCCAAGCTCAACCTGGTGACTAAGAAAGCAAATGTGCCCATCCCCACGCTGCGATGAGGCACTCACTCTCAGGGTTATGCAATCAATTAAATGGTACTCCCCAGACACCCCTCTTCCTCACCTCCAGTGCTGTGCCCCTCCTGGGGGCTCTGTAGGGAGGTGCATCCATCCCTCAGGCCATGCGTCCCAGCACCTGCTCCCTCTTGATTTTCACCGCAGTCATCTTCTCCCGGCCTCGTACATCCCCTCCGATTACCTCGATTCACATGTCTACTCTATAACCTGCTGTCTGGAAACAATAGCCCTACCAGGTCTCCATCCCTCTGATATCCCACAAGAGAGAATTATGGCTGGCTTTTATGATTATATTACTCAATTTCGCTAAGTCCACTTCCATATCTTCTCAATAGTAACAACAAAAACGTGAACTCTATGTGTCAACCAAAACGTGGGAAGAGCGTACCCAGCGCAGGTGTGGACACAGCCTCCTGACTCCCTCAGGCAGGGATGGTCAGGAGCAGCCTGCTGGGGCCTCTCTGCTGGAGGCAGAAGGACTTTCACCAGATCCACTCAGCAGCTCTTCCTGACCCCTCTTTGTCCCCCTTGTTCCCTTCAGCTAAGCTGTCCGCAGGGGACAGGAATTCCTCTGGCTCTTATGCTTCCTCTGCTCCCGCACATGCTTCTAGGGCGGCCGTTAGTACTCAGTATTATTGATTGGTTGGCAGGTCTGTTTTTCCTACGAGGCTGTGGGCTTCTTGAGGGCTTATGCCGGTCACATTGCTCCACTATTTAAAGCCCCTTCAGGACTCTCCCCTGCCCTAGGGACTAAGTCCCATTTTCCTTATCATGGAAACCTGGCTTTATTCTCCTTTCAGCCTCCTCTCCCTGAATCCTTGCTCCCACTCTATGCTCTCTCTGTACAAAATTTCTTTCAGTTTCTCCAAGGAGCCATATTCTCTTGTTTCATGCTGTCCCCTCTGCTCCCAACAGGTCCTCGCCACTCTCTGCTCCTCTCACTTGAATAATTCAGCTGTCCCCCAGGTCTCAGGAGTCAGTCCTTGTTCACAGGAATTCTTTCCTGATTGCCACGTCAAGATTAGGTACGCTTCCTAGGTGAGCACTTGCCACATGTGGGCCTGTCTGCTGTCATGCTGCATCTCCTCCACCCCTACCCAAATCCCCAGCTTCACAACATCCTTTGTACGCGTTGAATTGCGTCCTCTCCCCCACAAAATTCATATGTTGAAGACCTGTCCTTCATTACCTCAAAATGTGACCTTGTTTGGAGATAGAGTCTTACAGAGCTAATCAAGTTAAAACGAGGTCGTCAGGGTGAGCTCTAATCCAATATAACCATGTCCTTATGAAAAGGGGAAATTGGGAGGCAGACACACACAGGGACAACGCCATGGCAAGATGAAGGCAGAGATTGGGGTGATGCTTCTCCCAGCCAAGCAACGCCAAAGACGATCAGCAAATCACTGGAAGCAGTGGGGGAGGCATGGAATGGGTTCTTCCCCACAGCCCTCAGAAGGAACCAACCCTGCTGACATCTGTGAGACAGTGAACTTCTGCTGTTTAAGCCACCCCGTCTGTGGCACTTTGTTATGGCAGCCCTGGCAAACTCATGCAGGTGGCAATCAGGTTTCTTTTCTGTATTTTTTGCCGCTGCGACTACAGAGCTTAGCACAGCGCCTCGGACACATCATGGGAGCTCAAAACATAATGACTGAAAGGACAGTTCATCCTTGGGGGAACAAACAAGAGATATGGTTCCTGCACTTGAAGATCTCACAATGTGATGGAAAACACACAGAAGGAACAAGACAATTCAAAGTGTGTGCTTAAGGCCGGGGTCAGAGATGTGGAAGCTCAGCGTCCTGGGCCTGCCGAGCCCCTAATTCAGATGGGAGCAGGCGGTGCAGGGCAGCCACCCCGGAAATCTCCCAAAGCCTCGATCTTGAAGTACGATTTAGTCAAGCAGAGAAAGAGAAATGGACAGAGAGACAGAGAGAACAAAACCCCACGGCAAGAGAAAACATGGGCTGTTTGTGGACCTGTGAGTACTTTGATGGAGATAAGCTGGAGCCTGATTGATCATGAGGGGTCTTGTAAAACTGGCTGAGTCTGGGAACCAATGAGCAAATTTAAACAGAGTGACACGCATGGGCAGGCTTGAGTTCTAGAAATTTCTCTCTGACAAAGTGAGGATAGATTACAGAGGGTATGACTCACCACCAGGATATTCTCTGCTCTTTGTGGACCTTAGAAGTTGGAGGAAGTCTTTCTTTATCAGCCCTCAACCTCAACAGCAAGCAACAGCCACCGGGCTGGGCCTGGCTGGGAAAAGCCTTGAAGGTATCTGCCCTGACCCACAGCCGGGCTCCTATTTTGTCCTTTTAATGGGCGGTCATATCTCCTCACTAGACGTGTTGTATGCCTATTTTTAAGTCCAGACAATCCCCACCTCCCTTGAAGCTGCGTCTAATTCTTGGACGTTGGGGTAAAACCACAGGTTTTTCCTCATTCCTCAAAGCCACTAGCTCGAAGCACGTAATTGTGTGACGCTGGGGAAGAAGCCGTGGACGTCTGCATCCTGTTTCTGTTCCCATTCCTATTTCTCTGGTGCACAAAGCAAAATCACGCAAACTATAAAGACCATCGGGGAGAGGGGAAACAGGATCCTAAAGGGATGAGGCTGCCCCGGGACAGACCCTTCCCCAAAGGGGACAGGAGGCAGAGGAGGGGCTCCAGGATCAGAGGCCACCCCCTCCGCTGCATGGCACACACATGGGGTCTGCTCAAAGTAAAAACATGGATTTGGGTCCTGTCGCCTTGGTCTCATTATTTTTATTGCCTCTCAGTGGTTGCCCTGAACGCTGTGCTCAAGATGGGAAGGAAAGCAGGCTGACACAACTCATCTGCAGGACGGGGGAGGAGAGCACCGTGGCACACAGCCTGAGGGCCCGGCTTCTGCTTCCTGCGGCACTGTCCCAGCTGGCCCCGGGCCCCATGGAAGCCAACTAGATGGACATGCTCTCAGCACTGCAGGTGTTTACAGTACCCACTTGCCCCTGCAGACCCCAAATGCCAGGGGACTCATCTGCTGATCGTGGTCGGGGCTGGTGTTGACATTTGCATCAGTCAGGCCAGAGCCCACCTCAACGGGTCATCCTTCTGTCGGCACTTCAGAGGCACTACAGGACAGCTGCAGAGCTGGGGCTCACCACAGAGCAGGGCTGCCACCAGTGTGGGTAGAAGCTCACGACCTGGAATTTCCCTGCTGTTATGGATGGGCCTTGATGGGCTTTTCTTTGACTTCCTCTTGTAGACCTTTGGACAGCGCTATTACCGATGCAATACATGCAATAGCGTCCTGTTCCACTCCAGGAGGGGCTGCGTTTCAGCAATGGGAGGGGTTTGCCCCATACCCTGAGGGGCATTTACTAGGAGCGAAGGCCAGCAGAGCAAGGGCAGCACACCCAGCCAATCCATCAGGCCCTGGGAGTCTGCTGTGTGGCAGAGACTGCGGAAGTCTCGCCCCCGCCCGCTTACCAGGACATTTGGGAGAATTCAGCAAGCCATGTATTCTAAGCCCTGGCAGATTTAAAGGGGAGAGAGAGAAAGTCGGGGCTCTACAGGTCAATTTTATTACTGTTGTCAGGGACAAATCTGTAGACAGTGTATGAGAGCAGAGTGTTGAGACAAAGGACTTTCAACGTCAAGGTAATGAACTTGCAATGCAATTTTTTAAAAAACTATGAATTGTCATCAATATCCCAATTGATATATTTCACATTTAAAAAATCAAGGTTTCCATCTTCTCTGGAAACATACGAAGACGTAGCAACATTCGGCACATATTTCTGCATGTCAGCAATCAGCTCGAGCTCAGACACAGCTCTTCCCTCTAAATGGAGCCATGTTGTCCAGTTTGCCAGAATCCTACTGAGTCGCTTTTAATCATTTATATTACTTGCCTGGCTCTGCAGGCATTTGAGTTGGGGGGCCTCACGCTTACTCGCTGGGCCCCAGAGGTCCAATCAAGCAGGGCTTGTAGGGAGAAGCACCTCTCTCTTATTTACCAACCTGGCCCAAGGGCGGACACGTGACTCTTTCTCCCTATTGCCTCATCAAACCTACCTCCCCAGTCTACACAGATAATACAACATGGAACCAGTTCACTGAAGCATTACTAATGGTATGGGATAGCAACTCTCTGTGGACACAGAGAATTCTGAACATCTTGACTTCGAAAATACAGCATTCTAATCTTCAGTGTAGGGTTTGTGAACTGCCTCCCGGATCCTGGGGTTGGACTTAACTCCTAGCACCTAAATCCTTTAAAGCATTTCTCAGTTCCTCAAATTTCAGACCCGAGAAGTGAGGCTCAGAAAATCCTCAGGATTCCTTCTCTTGTTTGCCAGAGCCCCACCTTCTGAATTCCGGTTTCCCGTCTGAGGACCTGCCATTTCACAATAATTCACAATGGGAAAGCCCCTCCATGTCAAAGAAGACCGAGCGTGCCCAGATGGACTGCGACATTAATATTCAGCTTACAACAAGATAATCACCTCCCATGACAGACCCCAGCTGTTTATGCAAGAGACACGTGGGCATCATGTTCGACCCTTGCTGTTCCATTATAAGCATCAATTCTGCCCACACTGAGTGGGGATCTAAACTTTCATGTGAATGGAAGACTCACTCAGCTATCAGCTTCTTAGGCCTGCAGAACTTTCTTCAACTAATTCAGCTAAGCGTTGCAAAGCCTTGTGCCCTCCTCCTTTGCAAAGCCCTACTCCCCAGTGTAAGATAAACTGGACTCGTCTGAGTAGAAGGAAAGAGAGGGGATTTATGGGGTGAAGATTTGATTTCAAGCTTCTCTACAATTTAAATGCTCTGCAGCTCCCTTTCCTCACCTGTCTGCTCCACCCTGCCCATGTGAGGATCAAATGACATAAGAGAGTGAAAAACTCTGTTATGAATTCTCGCATAAAGTTAGTAATTAACTAGTACCGAGACTGCACGGAAGTTTCTGTGAGATGGCTTACAGCGATTATGTACACGCCAAGCGGGCAAATACGTCCTCCTGGGACATTCATTCTGTACCTCTGCAGCACGGCTATTGTCTGACTCATGTCTGCAGGATTAGAAGGCCGGTTTCTCAGGATGCCGGGAAAATCAGGCCGGTTGGCAAATCAATAATATCTGGTGAGAGGCCTTATAGAGAATCATGAATGAAAATGGCAAAAATTAATCAATTTTTATTTCATTATCAAGTGCTTAATACTTATGATATAACAAATATTAAGGATAATTTTAATTACTTTGAACGTCATCATTAGTTATTTAATAATTGATTATAATATGCTTATTCAATTAATAATTATAATTATTGAATAATTAATAATTTATTCTGTCATGTCTGTTAATTAGTTAATGCACGAATGATTAAGTAGGTTGTGGGAGGCTGTTGCAAAAGGTGAGACAAATTCAGAGGGAGAAGGCAGAAAAGATATCTGTTCATGTCATTGGGCCTCCAGAGAACCACAAGAATACATACCTTGGAACCGGAAATGAGTACACATGCTCTTCTAGAATATGTTCTCTGCACAGGTGTTTTAAGTTTCAAATATTTTTACCTGATTTTTAAAGAATAAATCATCATTGGTATAGATTTTTTGTATTAAAAAAAATTCATGGCCCCAAATTGCAATCTGCTGTGAAAATTTGATCAGGAGAAAGGTTTCTCATCACACAAAATTTGGGACATGGAGAACGTGTTTTCCCCAGGGTCCAGGGGAAAGTTGAAGCCCTGGGCAGAAGGGAAATTAACTTGATCTGGAAATTCAGGATTGAGAATGATTTTCGTTAGGTTCTGAGCCAATCAAAGGAATGCTATTTGTGTGCCTTTAGCTAACAACCTCACCTGATACCCGCCTACCACGTCTTGTTCAACAGAAAGGAATATCTATTTATCATCCATTGAGAAAATGCCCTTTTTGCTCTCAGTGACAATTTTCTCAAATAAAAAGCCAGATTGAGGAAGGAATGCATAAACTAAATGGAATATTACTTGGCCATAAAAAGGAATGAAGTTCTGACACATGCTACAGCATGGAGGAAACTCGAAAACAGCATGTTAAGGGAAAGAAGCCAGTCATGAAAAGACAAAAATTATATGATTCCACTTGCATGAGGTACCTAGAGCAGACAAATTCATAGAGACAAAAAGTAGATCAGAGGTTACCAGGGGCCAGAGGGAGGAGGAATGGGGCATTATTGCTTAAAGGGTATAAAGTTTCTGCTTGGGATGATGAGAAAATTTTGGAAATAGATAGTGGAGATGGTTCACAAAATTGAAAATATAATTAATGCCACTCTACTTTAAACTTAAAAATGGTTAAAGTGGTAAATTTTATGTTATGCGTTTACCACAATAGAAAAATACCAAAATTAAAATAAATAAAAAGTTGGGATGCCTTGGGCCGTAGAGTTCCACGTAGGATCCTTTCGCTGAAAGGTTAGACAAGACCATGTTTCCAAGGCTTTTCCATCACAGAGCACTCATAAACCTTCTCTTTTAGCTGGACACCCTCTCCCGGCCATGCCTGCCAACCTCACAACTCTGCTTCCAGTCTCAGCTCCACCAAGAAAAGCTTCGGAACCACAGAAACGCGTTCTGGGGAATGAGTTTGTTTAAAGCCTTCGCTGTTGGTTTTAGTCAAAATTTTTAAAATATCTTAAAAGCACGATTGATATATAAACTAAAATAGAACTGCAACTTCAGAGAAAATAAAAATAGACTTATCGTAGACTAGCAATTAATACCATGATAAATCTATTTTCATATTTCTTTTCTCTTATTTCAGAAAGTAAGAATAAAATGGCTTTGCTTAAATATAAAAACCTAACCATCTCTTCCCATCTTATCTACTTCCTTGTACTAGATGGTTTCCCCAAACCTAACAAGAGTTCCCTAAAGCTGGTTCTATCATTAAAATTATAGGAGATCTTGCAGTTAAGGCTTGGCCCACTCTGAACAAATATTCCCAATCTCCAATTTCAAACCTATTTTCCTCTTCCTGAATTGATTGCATATTGACCTAGAGAAGATAAAGACAAAGATACTTAGGAAGGTAACACTGGCAGCCAATTGGGTAGAATAGCTGGAAAAGTCCATTTAAGAGTGAAATGATGTATAATTAAAGGTAGGTTATCACCAGTTTTTGAATTCTTGCTAGATGTTGAAATTAGATGTATTGAATAAAAAGCATGGGGCTTAAAGTCTGAGGAACTTTAAAAATGCTTTCAAAATCCCAGCTCTGCTTCTTAGCTGCTCTTGGCATTGGAGAAGTTACATATCCTCTGAGTTTCCGTTTGCTCATCAGTAAAATTCAGTCAGTGGCACACAGTAGGAACAACACCGGAGTCATTGAATAAGTGGATAGAGGAACGGTTGATATTCATCGAATCAAAAATTGTTTACCAAACCCAGACTTAGCGGATCCAAGACAAAGAGAAGGGAGTTGACAGAGAATTATGTTTTAATGGAATAACAAGGCAAATGGAGAAAGGAGATTGATTTTGAAAAAGTTGAAAGAGCTTCAGAACTATGGAGAGCCTCCTGACTGATTGAGGTATTTAAACCTCAAAATAATTTCCCAACCTCATTTTTAGTAAAGGAAGGCAGTTATATTTAAAAAAAAAACAAAAAGTAAGAGCGAAAACACGTGCCTCTATGAGCCCGAATAAATCCAGTTTCTACAACACTCAGGATGACCAGTGGGTCGAGGCAAAGCAGAGTGGACACTTCTCATAGTGACCTAGAGCTATTACAACTTGCTGTCCTGACCTTAAGATGGTTCTGGGTGAACCCAGAAGACAAGATGTTTTGTCAGACTCAGGTTCAACTACGTGGACCTCAGAGTGTACAACATACTGTTTGCTGCGCCTGCCAGGACCCAAGGCAGAGTCAGTTGTGTGCACGCCTCTGTACCCACAGCCACAGGCATTCTCCACACTCTGGTTTACTAATGAACGCAGAAGGGGTCATGAAAGCCTGAAGAACGTGTTTTCCTTTTCTTCTCTTTTCCTGCACAAGTGCCAGTGTGTTAAAAGTGAGAGCAAATAGGCAGCCCGTGTTTTGATTTGCTGATGAACGAAAGCAATGCACGTGCCCTGCTCTCTGTCCTACAGTACAGAGAAAGGAACCTAGAAACTCAAATGTGGGGAGGCGATTTCTCCGACACTCTCCATTCCTAACTTCGGCTCAGCAGTCCCATCCTCAGTACTGAGGGGGCTTTCTTCATTGAGTCATAAGGGTAACCTCCAGGCTGTCTCCAGAGGTACAGGAAGTTACCTCATATTAGCATGGTGTTTCTTTAAAACTACTTTTAGGAAAAAGTGTCATTTATTCAACAAATTTAATGCACATTGATTCTTTAGGCTTATTGCTATTGATTTTTCAAAAGAAAAAGATAATAAAGAAGAGAACTTCAAGGATTCTACATCCTGCTTGAGGAGTCAAACATAAAAATTAAATAAGAGCTATACACAGAGCACACTTATATGATTGATTGAAGATAAGATTGAGAGCACTACCATTTATTGAGCATTTACTATGTTCCTTACTGACATAGGTACTTTCACTTACACCTCTGATTGAACCACACTGTAAGGTGGGAGACACCGTCTGGATCTTACAGAGGAAAGCTCTAAGCTCAGATGGTTAAGGTACAACATAAGTGGCTTCTCATCCAGTTTCTGGTTAAAAATCCAGGAGCCATGACACCACATCAAACCTAATGAGGAATATTGCAAGTTTTCATGAAAAAGTCATTACTGTAGTTTGATGCAGCCAAAAAATCTCCCTGGCTTTCCTGAACAGTGCCGCTCCCAGCTGGGCAAGCACAAGGCCTTATAAGTACAACTCGTCTGCATTCCATTGGCATCAATCCCAATCAGACAGTCATCTCTCTCTCCTATTCCCATCCTCTGGGCTTTAAACAAGAGGTAACTGCCTTCCCAAGGAAGCGTTTTTCTGACACTAATAAAGAGCAAAGACCCTTTCTGAACACTTTGCTGCTGTCCAGTAACACCTCGGTGGAATCATTTAAAAACATAGCGCTTTTGTGTTTATGTTGGTTTGCTTTTCACAGAGTGATCACAAAGCATAGTTCAAGGTCAAGAGTAAAAAAAGTTAAATTGATGGTAGCTTTTCAGTATGGCTTCTCATCGTAGTGGCATGGAACGGTCAGCTTTCTCTACTGTTTTGTGGTGTGCAATTACACACTGGACGTGTACACATTGATGTAGTATTGATAAATGCAAATCGGAAAAACAGAAATTTCACGTGGACAAGTTAACGTAGACAGTGGCTTGGCCGTTCTACACGTCATGGGCATAATGTCCAAAATAGCTCATCCCGCAATGGTGCTTTGGCTCTCAACTGATCACCTTATTAACATTTAGATTCGACAGGAAATATTGTTTTTAGAGAGTCTGGAATTTTAAAGAGTCTAAGGACTCCTCATGGTCTTATTTCTTTTATTTGTGGGGTCCCCGAAAGGAATTTCACAACGTAGTTAACAGCAAGAAGTAAGCATTTTCTTCCTTAACAAAACAATAGTTGACTGACACAGAGGTATAGAACCACTCGTGGGGTGTTCATGGTACAAAGATGTGAGAATGGGAGCAGAAAAAAGGCATCCACCACACTGTGGAGGGGCGGGGGTGGCACTTAACAATATTAAAAGAACAAACAAATAAAATAACTGACTCAATGGGAAAAAAAGTTGGAGTGGGGCAGGTGTCCTGTGCCTTTTGAAATTAAAAAGAACACAGGGCTCAGGCCAGGGAGGAGAAACTGTAGCCCTCAGGGGTTTTCTTGGCTCAGGGCTATCAGCCCTGCCTTAAGTGTCGTTCAAAAGCTGAAACTGATTCATCCACACAAAACAACACAAGAACACAAACACACACATTTAAAAAAATGGTTCCTGGAGCTGCTGGGTGCTCTCTTTTAATTCACTCCTAGCTCAATACCATTTGGTTAGTTTCCTAAGTCTTGCTAATAGAAGAACTGAGGTAGCTTAATATATGAACTGTTTATGTTGAAGAACCAATATGTAGAAACACAAGGGGTCATGGAAATAACACTTCTGCTACAACAAAGGTCCTTTACAATAGAGCCAAGCTTTATTCAAGCCTCAGAGAGAACTTCCTTGAACTTAGGAATGCAAACATTCACATGTGGGCGTATGTGGGCCTCTGTGCCTGAAAAGAGGGAGGTGAGGGCTACAGGTCACCCCTCCTCAACTTTGTGACCAGGTGGTACGTTACAATGAAAGCAAGTCTCAGACTGAATTCAGCAATAAAATAAACACTTGGAAGCCAGCAGGCACAAAAAAGTTGTACAGCCAGTTCTATAAACCCAATCAAGTGCCCATTGTCCGTCCCGCTGGCACTCTGACAAACCCCTTGCGTAACAGATTCACTTAAGGCGGAGGTGACGCTATCCCACCAGCAAGATTTAGCTGAACATCTAGTCAGAGTCAGGTGCGAGAATCTGCCTACAGGCTGTGGATACAGGTTCTGTTTCAAACCTTAAGACAGAGACAGCATTTGGAAGGACATAGAGTTCCCATTGGGCTTTCTAGATCATAAAACCCCATTTAAGCAAGGGCAGAAGTGTCTGCGACAGTATTTTCAACCAACTCACGTGTTCTGAACACCTCTTCTTTCACCAATGAAAATCTCTTCCAAGATCCATTGTGCTAAATAACAAAGCCAGTGGTGTTGATGGGGAATGAAGACGGGGGAGTGCTTACAGCTGCCTCCAGAGCGGGAGCTTCTTAACGATCTTTCCAGTTCCAGCAAACCTCCCCTGGAGGGTGTATTCATTCCTGAGTAGAGCCCTTCAATATTAACTAACTGCCCCTGGGGGTCAATGAAAAACCCGGAGACTGACGTCACACTCCCTCTGCCAAAGTTCTTTAAATTTAATTGCAGACAGTACAGCATTTTTGTTATGATGTTGTATTGTTTTTAGTCAGAACCCAGACAGGGGATCCAGGCTCACAACTGGGCTCTGGACTTAAGAGAGCCCTCTCTCCTTCCTGGCCCCATGGTCTGGAGTCTCTTCCAGAATCTGCCCCACCTCAGACAGGTAGGCCTGCTTCTCTTGTCTGTGTCTTGAACCAGCCCTATTTACCAGGTGATGGGAACCAGGTTAGAATTCAGCTCCTTTGCAGACTCATCAGTGAAAGGAAGCTGAGGAAATGACTTTAGCCTCAAGTAATCAGTTTGAACTTGAGCATTTCCTTTGTATAACTCTCACATGCCCTAATGTCTTTTGATTTGTTATGAAAGGCACAGACTATCAGCCCCATTAATACCAGCAAAAAAAAAATCATAAATACTATCTCTGGGCATCCTTTGATAAAGCCGCTCTGACCCAACTTCAGACAGGTCCCTCTGAGCCCTCTTTTTGACTAGTCCTCATCCTCAGGCCCTCTCTTTGGCATCCCCACGCCAGTTGTAGCAAGAATCCTGCCAAATCAGTCTAGTGAGACTCCCCCTACTCTTGATATCTGATCAAATTCCTCATCCACAGCCCTTGATATCTGATCCCCCTGGCCTGTCTTCAGTAAGAATCCTAAGTTGGTTTAGCAAGAATCCCCCTGCCCTTAATGTCTCCCAGTCAGTCATTTTCCATCCACCAACCCCTTACCCTCGACTCTGCTCGTTGGCTATAAATCCCCAGTTGCGCGCTCAGAATTGGGCCCAAATGAGCTTCCCTGTTGCAGTAGTCTTGACACCTTTCACAACAGTCCTGAATAAAGCTTCCTGACCATTTTAACAGATGTCAGAAGAACTTTTTCTTTAACAATTATAGTGCTGTGACTCAG